TGAAAGAGCAAAGTTTAAGGGATATTTTACAGACAAACGTGCATGTTAAAAAATAAAGTTGGAGATCTTGACAAAAAAACTGTCTTAAAAGTTTGTATACTTCCAAGAAATATGTATTTCTTTGTACATGTAGTATTTATGCCAAACAAAACCATTGGAAAATGACTCAAATCAAAGGTACACCACATCACAGATTTCTAAGTAAGTACTGTCTGTAAGAACTTATCAAGTTTTGATGATTTGTGGAAAGTTTTATTAATACTTTCTTGAAGATTTTATGACTTGGAAAATGTAACTTTCAAGAACATTTTTTTTCTGCTTCCATTTCCATTGAAGCCACTAAATCAAATATATTGTAGAAATATGCTATGCCTTAAAAATCTTTTGCATATGTAACTAATTATTTGATATTTAAAAGCTGTGTATATTTTTTTCAGAACTATTTCAAAGTTCCGCTAAGAAATTGAAGATTTAGGGATCTTTGTAAGGAAGAAGTATTTTGAAATAGTATTAAAAGTGATTTGACCATTAAAGAATATACAGGACTCTGAATGTTCAAATACGGTTAATATACAACCAAGATGAAGAATTTTATTTACTGATTTCTTTAAGTTTAAATAATTAAAGATCAAGTTAAACTACCACATTTTATAAGAGCAAGAAACAAATCATGATGAGAGTTAAGTAACAGAAAACTTTACATGAAACTTTCTCAAGTTACACTGGTAAATACTTTTAAATTATAATTTTTATACAATACACTTTTAGAATGGGAATTCTGATTTTTTTCATGAAAATTTTCAGTTTTTATTAATTCATGAAGAAGATTAATTTCTGTACATAATAACCATGACTTAACACGTGACAATGTCTTTTATATAGTTTTCCTTTTATAGGTCCAGTCACTTAAACTTATAAACATAACTTTTTACTTGAAGGGGAGAAGAAAATTGTGACCATAACAGGCTCAGTAGAAAAAAAAAAAAAAGGCATAAAACTGAAAATTTTCATAGCAATGATAAGGATGCTTTTTATGTCTAAATCTACTTTACTGGTCAGAATATTTTCTATTTTAAAGGAATTATTAATTTTTCACTTCTGACAAGAACTCTTGTCAAAATGAGATGACTAAAAATGTGGTATTAAAGTGAATATTTCCTCACTTGCATTTAATGATATCAGTATTGTTCTTCAAGAAGATATAGATTCACAATGAATTAATTTTATGATCAATTTTAAGAGGTTACACGAAATTTCTTTATGGCACAATCAAAATATTATCATAGCAATTCAGATTGTCAGTAAAAGCTTAAACAAATTTGCTGATAATCCTGTTAATGACCTAGGTCAAGTGTTAACTGTTGTGGGTTATAAAGCAGTGAAATTAAGGTTTCTCCTACCTCCAGGCAAACAGCACAGTTATAACTGTTGGGGGTGGTTCAGGGGCACTCTATTAGGAGAACTATTAAATTACAGAAATGTATAATGCATTCAGTTATTTAGTCTAGCATGAAGAAATGCTATTAAAAGCAAATGTAAGCCCTCTTTTAAAAAGCCTATAAAGATGACATGATAGCTTAGCTCTCTGTTAATGTTTCAATCACAAGGAGTTTTTGACGATGAGAGTTTGTCTACGTTGAAGGTGATGTTGATTCAGAAAACAATTTTTACAAAGAGGAAATCTATGATTTAAATATTTATTGAGCCAACATTTGCCTACTGCTCCAAGAGAGGCATGTAGCATATATACACAAGTTTTATTTTTAATCTTCGAGCAGTCTCGTAATCTTCTCTTAGCAGAGATTTCTGTGACAAGGCGAGCATTTCCTAGGCTGTGACTTAGGCGCTCCAGGAAAGAGTATCCCAATAAGAAGTGTGTAGATGTGTAGGCTGAATTTTATTGAACTGTGTTTTTAAAACTCTCATTTTTATTATAGAGAATGTAATGGGTAAATGTGAATCCAATTGGTGAAGACTGTTGGGCGGAACACTTTGCATACAATATTGAATAAGCAGTGCATTTTGCTTTAGACGGCTACAAATATATAGTGTGTATAAAGAGTACTCCATGCACTTTAAAGTTGGCTGAACTAATGAGTGTCGACCACTTTACTCTGTATCAAGTTTTAACTTCTTTCCAAACATACTGTTTGCCATTATCTGAGTTCCTGCAAGGAAGCAACCAACTAAGCAAGCAAACAAACAAAAACAGAACAAGTTTTACTGATAAAACAGTACAGTACAAATTTCACTTTTAAAAGTAAATTATTTCCTATTAGACATCTCTTCTTGTGCCACGTGACAGGAAAGGACAGATCATTGTTAGCAAAGTCTTTATTCCCTAACTTCTGTTTGGGGTTCCAGGCCAGGTTTTAAGTGATTCTGAAAATCATGTATCTCTATTATCTTCCAAAAGACCATGAAGGTTAAGTAGCACTTGGAGTCACTTTCTTGAGATCACAATGGAAAGCCACTGTAATCAATTGATGGACTGGAAAATTCACATCAAACTCTGAAGTTATTTTTCTTTATTTTGGACTCATGGAATTTCAATGCGTCCAAATTTTAATTATCTCAATTTTTGTTTAAACTTTCATAGAGACAAGTTCCTTAGCAATCAGCTCAATGGCCTGGTTTTGTTCCCCATTTTTGATATGTCTAACCCCATAATAGACAGAAGAATTCAAAATTCTAGTAAACATGTTGTAGTGAATTTTTAAAACATAATATTCAGCATAATATTTTAAGCCTAATCAGTCTTCTCACACATTTTCTATGTATCTCATTATCTTCTTGTGTATCTTTAGTTTTCAAAATGCATTAGAAAGCTACATCAACTGGTTCAGTTTATCTTAGCTCTATGAGTCCAGGTTACTTTGTTAGAGGAATTGCATGGAAATTGTGGTATAGAGTTAAAATTATCACTTTCCAGATGACTCAACTCAATTGGTTAGAGCCAAGGTATTGGATAAATATGTAAAGTATCACTGAAGTATTATTTAACTTAAACTATTCATTTTAACAATTGTTTTAAAGTGCTTATAACCTCATAAAGAAAATGAGACAGTAGCTACATGATAGCATCTGGAAAGACTAATCTTGTGAATAGATACATAAAAACTTTCATCTAAGCAAATTAAATCATATTGTCTGAGTTTTATGAGTATTTTTACCATTGTAGATCTGTACTGTTAATTTGTACCTATTTCCATACATTATTCAATAATACATACATAAAATGTGGATTAAAGGCAATTAGGATTAAATTATACATATTTCATTAAATACATATGCATTGCTTTTATATGAGTGTGAATAAGATTAAAGGTATTATTTTTTTGCAATTGAAATATAGGCTAAATTGGCCACAAATGTAATTTCATCTGTATCCTGTGTATCACTAATTCAGTGAGATCATTGTCTGGACAGTTTATATACATTCCATTTGGAAAAATGCAACCCAGGAATGAAATGTGGCAATTGTATAGTTTTCTAGTTATTCTTAGTATTTTAATATACTTAGGAAAATATTTTAAAACACTTTAACACATTGCTGTGCTACCCATGCACAAATGACCACTCATGTCTACTTCTTTCAAGAAGAATGACTAATCATTACTTTCAAGTGAACATTTTAATTTGTGTTACTAAAAATGTGATTTGTAGAAAAGATGAGTTTTCTCATCTCCGTGATGAAAAGCTATTTCTTTATTAAAAAGCAAACAAAAATTAATAAAAGCAGCCAAATTGATAAAGGCAGCCAAGGCACCAAGAAAAGAAAATTAAACTGTCCCATTAGCACTGAAAGTAGGTCATCAAACATTTGAAGCAGTCTTTGCACTGAATGTGTTTACATATATTTTTCACGTAGGCATAAATGTGATGTATACAAGATTTGGTCTACAAAATATGTTAAGTGAGTGTTGTACACCTACTATGCTTCCTGCCCCCCGTGGTTCTCTATTTGTTAAGCTGCTCAATAAAATTCTAAATGTTAAAAATCATTAAGGGAAAATTAAAGTTGTACGTGTTAAGAGTTTGAATTCACAAATCATGAGGACTAGATAATGAAAAATATGCTCAGTACACTCAAAAACAACTCTTCTCAGTATTAGCTTCACACTTTGATCCATTGAAAATTCAGGGATGCCCATTACGTGGACAATAATTAAACCAACATCAAGGAAATGCCGTTAAGTGCTCATGAGCTGTCTTTCCAATTAGCTATTCAGTTATTTACTGTATCTACCCAGGAGCTGTTCATCAATCGATCATTAAACTCAGTCTCCTACTCGTATGAAAGCCCTTTATTGAAAAGAACCCAACTTCAGCTCCCTCATGTCCCTGCGAACATCACTGCTGTTAATGTGGCATATGCTACTCTAGAGAACCTGCATCGTATCGCTGAGCACAGCCCTGCCCGGCGGAATCCTCATCTCTCCGATAAGGCGGTTGGAACATAAACATACCCACACACGCGTGCACACAAACCTCGGCTCCAGCGAGCCCCTTTCCTCTAGTCCATTCACAAACGCCAAAGGGTCTAAGCAGGACCAACCTGTCATTATCTTTAAAACACTCCGCGGGATCTCGAGAAAGGCTAGCCTTTTCTTTTAAACTTCTCAAGAGTACCACATGGTCATAATTAGAAAATAAAATACTGCCTTGGCTATTTGGCAATTAACTGACTGGGTTGAAAAAAAAAAAAAAGAAACAAAACAAAACAAAAAAAAAAAAACGGAGGGTTTTCTTTCTTTCTGCTTCAAATTGTCAAATGTAATCGCTTGAATAGCTATCAGATTAAAACCAGATTCATTTGTTTATTTCTTTATTTATTTTTAATGGTTTCTACAATCTCAATTCGTCTCCCAAAAGTGCTTTGGGATTGCTGCTGGGGCAAAGACCATCTTTGGCTGCCACTGCTTTCCGGGCATCTTCGGGACCAGCGCGGCTGCGGGGGCTGCGGGCTCCGCTCCGGGGCGGCGCGGTACCTGGCTTACCTTCGTTGGAAGGCTGTGGGCTCAGTTCCCCGGAGCAGCTGAGGACGCAGCAGCCGAGCAGGACGAGGATGGAGAGGTGACAATCCATGTTGCTGGTGCACCCGGCAGTGAGAGGAGCATATCTCCACGAAGCATGCCACTGATGTGAGGGGGAGCGCTCTGATTGCAGAAGTTACCATGCTCCGCTCGCAGTCTGATGTCAAGTTTGACACTGGAGATAAGGAGGAGTCTGGCTGCCTTTCCGCGAACCCCGCTCGGGGACTTCGCTGGGTCCTAGTGCCGTCGCCAGCGGGAGCTGAAGGAGAGCGGGGCAGCCCCGTGGCTGGCCCTTTCACAGGGCTGCGGAACAGCGCAGTGGGGCAGAGACCAGGGTGTTGCCAATGGCTCAGAAAAGCCGCAAGTTCTGTGGGGACAGCGACGGAGAGTGGTGGGAGCCGAAAGGCAGCTATTTGTTTGCTATACTTTATCAGTTGACAAAAGGCTTATGAGAGGTACTGTGAGTTGAAAAGAAACTAACGCTCAATATATACGTGTATGCGTGTATATACGTATATATGTGTATGTATAGTTTTAAAAAGTGAGAGACATTCGTTTAATTATTATATAATGACAAGGGCCATCACTATTATTCCCCCACTGCGTTCACTGTGATCACAGTTCTGTTCTTGGCTCAGCAAGACCAAAGGAGACGTCCTCGATTAGAAAGATCAGGAAGCCTGTTCAGTCCACCACATGGTATCAGGCTGTTAAAGGGATTTGACACAGCAATTTCAGCTCGCACAGGGCACAGCCAGGTTCCGAACGCTGAGAAGTAACCTTAGCCCTCCCAGGACAGTAGCAATAGTAGCCATGGCAGTAGCTTCAGGCAACCACGCACTTCGGCGGGTGCTGGATTTGCAATATAAATCAAACTCGGAGTTCTGAACAGTGAACGCTCCTGCCCACACTAACTAGCTTCAGGACTTTCCTGTTCCGAGAGAATCAAAACACAGCTCGCAGCTCCCCATCCTCCTTCCAGCTGCCACTAATCTGGTACTTTGTGAAGAGTGCTCTTTAACATTGAAAATCCAGTAGCTGCTGGAGAATAATGTCCTTGGACTTTCTCACGTGCTTCGCAGTATGGTTATAAACGCACTCATGCTGAACCATCTAATTGCAATCTACTTCAGCCGCATAATTTTTGTAATTTATACTTTAAGATCTCTTTTCAAATATCTTTGAAATATGTCCCAGAAAGTGATCTCCTCACCCGCCCTCTCACCACCCATCCATCTCAGCCTACCCTGAAAAGAAACAAGATGAGTGCCTCACACAGCTCCAAAATAGAAAAGTAGGTTGACAACATTAACACCAGGGATCAACGTAGAGCAACTGAGTAAGATTTTAAAGGCCCAGGCAGTGAGGCGATACTCCTTTCACAAGTGCTACACTTTCAATGACACAGCACAGTTTTCAAGTGAATTGAGGCTAGTGCTTCTCCTAACGTTTGTTGGCTGTTTGGTGAAGAGAGGTTGGCTTGAAGAAGCCAGACAGGAGGGACCGATCCTGCTCTCTCTTCCATGAGAGACTGATTCAGGTCCCTGACTCCTTTTCACATTACACCACCAGAGGCTGTAGAACCCACTCCTACTAACTCTGTCTCCACTGAAAATAAGGGATGTTGACCAGAATATCCCTCGTCACAATGTTTGCAGTTCCACCACAACAGTTCATTGCTTCACAACTAAATATATTTTTTTCTGGAAGTTTGAAAAAAAA